CTCCCCTCGTGCCCCCCCCCCCCCCCTCCCCCAAACCGCCGCATCCCAGTTCCATGCTCGCTACGGAAACCCTAAAGGGAAGAAATAGCCTACGAGATGGGAGGATAAAAAAAATATTTCAATACGTTCACGCAATTATATCGTTGGGTAAGTATAGGCGACTGTATATAAATTGCGGTCATCAGGGAGCCGCTATTGAAACCGTTTCGATTGCGTGCGCTCATTTTACTTTCACTTTTGAGATTTGCAATCACTTGTCATTATCTCTCTCTAATGAGCCGCCATTACGGCTCTACTCCAAGCACAGTTACCGCAGCTCAGTGCAGGAACCACAGAGGAGCTCTACCACAGGGAAATACTCATATACTGCTGAGAGTAGTCCAAATAAACCCCCTCCATAACACTTAATTATAAGGTGAAACGTATATATTGGTGAGACTGCAATATTACTAAATATAACCTACACAATTGCACAGTTCCAAAATATCGAAGACCATTTTTTAAAGCATCACAGGTGCGCTTCTGATTAAAGCATTTTTTATACTTTAACATCACATACATTATCATACAACTCTAAAAAATATTGTTTTTGGCTAGACTATAAATACTGAAATGATAATCAATGATCTTATGGCTTAATGTCTAGTTTTCACTGAATAAACTGTCAAGAAAAGGCAGTAGAGCTGACCGTTTCTGTCAGTGGTAAGCAAGCGGCTAACCTTTTAGTGACTCCGTATAACGCGTTATTTGTTTCATGCTTCGGGCACACCCCTAACCCCGCCCCCCGATGTCATCGTCCATCACGATGTTTCAATGTGGACATCGCCCAACCCTGTCACATGACAAAATATGTAATGTGTCCCTGTCTGAATGTTGTTGTTTCTCTGTAATGTTGCTAAATATATTCACACTTAAATCACAGTGAAATGGCCTAACAAAACATTTTTCATTGTATCAATATTTTTATGATCCCATTAACTTCACACAGCATATTACAGTTGCATGAGCCAAGTCAATTTGGGCAGCTTTTCTTAGCCACGTCAAACTGCAGCTGTCTTGACTGTATGCTAAAGGGTGCGTTAAAGATCGTTGCCAGGTGAATGCCTTCATTACGCACACCACGGTTAAAAAAGGCTAACTGAAAGAAAGCATGCTTTGTTGATAACAGAATAGCAAAAAACTAGATGGAAACCTGGCTTATGACAATGAGAAACTAATTTAACCAGGGGAGTCAAAACTTTGAGGTAGTGCATATGTGAATGGTTTTACATATAAATTAGACAGCAATACATTCTTTCAGTGTTTCATGAAAAAGCCTCATTGTCCGTCCATACAGGAGCAGTCATATGGATCTGTGAGAGCATGCATGTTAACATGCAGCGAGGAAACGCTGCAGTACACCCAACACAAGCACATTAAAACTGACATTTGAACAAAAATACCATTGTTCGCATGATTGCTGTCACTGCACAGCCACCCCATCCCTCTTTACCACCTCTCTCTCTGTTTTTCCTTCAATCGCCCACTTCCTCCTGCTTTACTCCCCGTCTTCCGTCCTCTATTCTCCCCTGCGCTCTCTATCTGCCCCTGAGGCGTGATGGAGCGAGTGTCGCTGTGAGGTTTCTCTGGGCGTTCTCATCCGGGTGGGCTCCTCAGGGCTCACCCTGCTGTCATTATCTCTCTCTAATGAGCCGCCATTACGGCTCTACTCCAAGCACAGTTACCGCAGCTCAGTGCAGGAACCACAGAGGAGCTCTACCACAGGGAAATACTCATATACTGCTGAGAGTAGTCCAAATAAACCCCCTCCATAACACTTAATTATAAGGTGAAACGTATATATTGGTGAGACTGCAATATTACTAAATATAACCTACACAATTGCACAGTTCCAAAATATCGAAGACCATTTTTTAAAGCATCACAGGTGCGCTTCTGATTAAAGCATTTTTTATACTTTAACATCACATACATTATCATACAACTCTAAAAAATATTGTTTTTGGCTAGACTATAAATACTGAAATGATAATCAATGATCTTATGGCTTAATGTCTAGTTTTCACTGAATAAACTGTCAAGAAAAGGCAGTAGAGCTGACCGTTTCTGTCAGTGGTAAGTTTTCATTTAGAATGCTTGTGATAATGTAAGAAAAGTAGTTTAAATGTTTTGCCACTTGCTTGAGCAACTTAATATATCAATCTAGAAGTAAATGCAAAAGTAAAAAGCATTGAATAATGTGTGTCTTATATTTATTGCGTTTAAACAAGTCTATGAAAGATTGCATTACTGTGAATCACAATGCTGAAAAAGCATTTTAAGCAACAATGTT